ATGGAGGATATCAGAGGGCATCCAGGCTGAGCCGCGGTCCATACAGGACTGTCATTCAATCCATTTGCGGACCACGATCTGCCATTTAGCGATGTTTAGATTTTTCATGTAAGATAGCAAATTCTCATTTTTTGGAGTTCAGGTCCAGTTTAATAAATATAAATACAAAGAAGTGTTCGTAAAAAAAATAGTTTGGACATTTTGTTATGCTATTTAAAGTATAACTGAAGGCAAATCTTTTTTGTTAGTTTTGGATAGGGTGAAAGGGGATCTCTTTTCCCCGGTGACTACTATCATCAAATGTAAAAGAAAATCCCAGATTGTATGTGGTCACTAAAACAGGAATAGAGGGGAATCTCACTTACAATAGGTTTTTATTAACGTTTTTACAAAGTTCAAGCAATAATATAAAGAAGCAGGAGAATGTGACCGATGTATTTTTACATGTTGAAGATATGGCCACTGTTGGAAGGCAACATGTTTCTATATTGGACATTTATGAAATCTCACTGCCTGGTTGTCAAAGAACTATTTGGCCCATTGAATGTTATCTTGGAGTGTCAAGAAAAGCAAGTATTTAGGACAGGATGTGTAACAAAAGGCTGCATACCATTCCTCCTGGGAGTTTACACATACCCCCTAGCGGTGGGACATGGAGATAAGAGAGCCTCAGCCCAGATGCCTGGGTTCCATGCATAATAAAAGGACAGATTAGCCAGAAGGAAGGAGCCAGATGTGATTGGCCGGGGTCCAAGCATGGTTGGCAATGCAACGGTGCCCCCTGGTGGAGCGTTATTGGCAATACAGCAATGCCCCCTGGTGGAGACAACCTACTTCCAGAAGTAATCCTACACTTCCTAATGAATAAGGAGGGCAGCCCCTTATGAGCTATGGATGTTTGCTCATTGGATGAGAACTACACCAGGCGGGTCAAGGGTGTGTGGGTGGTGTTTGAAAGTGCTTTTAAATTTTAAACACCGTTTTGGCCAGGCTCTGTCTCTTTTTGACCATTTCCTACCTGGTACCAGCTAAAAGATACTCCGCTTTGAGGACGAGCGTACATAACGTATCATCTTTACTAATATTCCTATATACTCTGTAATATTGGCTTAGATTTCTCCGTTAGGGTTTTCTTTCTTTGTAAATAAATAAGACTTTGCTTCTTTGAGCATTGTGTTTGTTATTATAGCTAATATTGCATTGTATTACGGCTTCAATATTGTCAAATGTTACATAGTTACTAATTAATTACAGGAATAGACAAGTAGTACATAATTGTATAATAAATAGGGGGATTCCAAGAAACCAACCCCTTACTTTTATTTCAGCCACTGATAACATTTAGACAGGTTTAAATATATCAAGAGTACATAGTAATGCAGGGCATTGAGCCAGTACTGCAAGGGTGTTCTATAGATGTCCGAGAGGAGTAAGGTGACTGGCAAAACACTGGCCAGGTTTGCTGTTTGGTCCCTCTCAATGAAGCAGACTGAATCTATAGGTCAGAAAAAGTAAAGACGTTTCCATTTCACAGAGGTAAAAAGAGGTATTAGAAAAGGGAGAGGAGAAGAAAGAGGACAATGGAGAACGTTAAAGACACTGGGGCCAGGACCCAAACTTCGGCACCTACAAAGATAAATAGCTTGCAAGGGGTGGGTGTGTGGAAATCTTTCCATGGGAAGTTTTAGTGACTACCAGGGATTTCCCTCACTTTGGAGGGATTTCCTTTCACTTCATGTTGCTGCTTTGGCACAGGAACTGAAGGAAAATTTTACCAATGGGATACAAATGGAAAACAGAAACTGGCCGGGTTTGTAACCCTCCCTTACTCTGTCCAAAATGAAAAAAAGTTTTGCCTTCAGTTTTACTTTACAGTTTTAATTCCCTCTGCTGCTCACAGTTATAACTAAGGGAATTTACAAGGGTTGGACAATATATGGAAACACCAAGTAAAAGGACAAAATCGTTACCTATATACCACCTTTGGCATCCAAGATGACCAACATTCTTATGGGAATTGACAAATAGTCTTGGATGGTGGATAATGGAATCTGATACCACTCTTTATGCAAAAATCTTTTCAGTTCTCACAGAGACGCCAGAGGCAAAAAATGAGTGCGAACCTTATTCTCCAAAATTGACCATAGTGGCTCTATGATGTTGAGGTTCCAGCGACTGCTGTGCTCAAGGAAGGAGTGAGACTTCCTCTGCATGCTCCTCAAACCACCACAATTTGACAACACCAGCTGTGTGAATCGGAGCATTATTGTCTTGGTAAATGGGCTGTCTTTGGGAAACAATGTCTACACCATGGGGTGCACAAGGTTGGCCAAAATTTGTATTTGTTGCTGGCAGTTACTCTACCATTCAAGGTGATGATGGGGCCTGTAGAATACCAAGATATGACTGTCCAAACCATGATTGCACCGCCACCATTCCTTTTCATTGGTAAAAGACAGTCTTGGTCGTAAACTTGGGACAGTGTTCTCCACATGTATGCTTGGTGGGAACAGTGTGAAGCTTGATTCATCTGACCATATTACAGTCTTCCATTGATCGATAGTCCACGACCTATGGATGTTGCACCACTCTCTCCTCTTCTGAGCATTGATATCAGTCACTACTGGTTTGGCAATTGCAGCTCACCTATGAATGTCTTGCTTATTGAGTTTCCTCTGCAGTTTTTGTGGACACGGGCTTTGAAAGACTGAGATTGAGCACTTTTGCAGCAGTTGTTTTCTTATTTCTGGGTCACAATCCTGCATAATGTAATTTTGTCTCTTTCAGTCAGTTGACCATGTCAACCAACAATGTTTTCCCGGAAACTGTATAATCTTTGATACTCTACCTCGCGACACGTCAAATAAATTGACAGAGGCACCAGCTAAGCAGGTACTAACAATTTGCCCTCTTTGAAGCTCAGTAAGCTCTAACATGACTTCGTATTACTAGCATCACACGCAGTGAATGATGAAAATGAGGCTTCCAACTTGTTAGCTAGGAAGCAAAAGAATGTTACATCACTTCCGCTTTCAAAGTGAAACATGTTGTCGCTTTCACACCTGCAAAATCCTGTAATATTTCAATATTTTTGGCCAACCCCTGTATATAAGTGACACACCTCAACAATGCACAATGGAGTTCGCATATATACAACATACAGTTGCAAGAATAAGTATGTGAACCCCTTGGGATTACGTGGAGTTTTGCATGAATTGGGCATAAAATAAGCTCTGAACGTCATCTAAGTCACAACAATAGGAGAACACAGTCTGCTGAACATAATACTACACAAACACTAGATGTTGCCATGGTTTAATTGCACATAACATGTAAACATTCACAGTGCAGGGAGGAAAAAGTATGTGAGGCCCTAGCTCAATGACTTCTCCCAGAGCTAATTGGAGCCAGGAGTGAGCCAACCTTGATTCCAATCAGTGTGATGATATTGGATGTGTTGCTGACAGCTGTCCTGCCCTTAAAAAACACACACCTGTTTTGGGTTTACTGGTTTCAAGAAGCACTGTCTGATGTGAACCATGCCTCGCAGAAAAGAGCTCTCAGAAGACCTACGATCAAGAATTGTTGACTTGCATGAAGCTGGAAAGGGTTACAAAAGTATCTCCAAAAGCCTTGATGTTCATGTGTCCACGGTAAGACAGACAGACTGTCTACAAATGGAGAAAGTTTAGCACTGTTGCTACTCTCCCTAGGCGTGGTCGTCCTGTAAAAATGACTGCAAGAGCACAGCACAGAATGCTGCATGAGGTAAAGAAGAATCCCAGAGTGTCAGCTAAAGACCTACAGAAATCTCTGGCACATGCTAACATTTTTGTTGACACATCTACAATAAGGAAAACATTAAACAAGAATGGAGTACATGGGAGGACACCACGGAGGAAGCCATTGCTGTCCAAAAATAATATTGCAGCACGTTTGAAGTTTGCAAAAGAGCACCTGGATGTTACACAGCACTACTGGCAAAATATACTGTGGACAGATGAAACCAAGATTGAGTTGTTTGGGAAGAACACACAACACTATGTGTGGAGAAAAAAAGGCACAGCACACCAACATCAAAACCTCATCCCCACTGTAAAACATGGCGGAGGGAGCATCATGTTTTGGGGCTGTTTTGCTGCCTCAGGGCCTGGATGGATTGTTGTCATTGATGGGAAAATGAATTCCAGAGTTTATCAAGACATTTTGCAGGAAAACGTACGACCATCTGTCCGCCAACTGAAGCTCTGCAGAGGATGGGTGATGCAACAGGACAATGACCCAAACCATACAAGTAATTCAACAAAACAATGGCTGCAACAGCACAGAATACGCTTCTGGAGTGGCCCAGTCAGAGTCCTGACCTCAACCTGATTGAAATGCTGTGGCATGACCTTAAGAGAGCGATTCTCACCAGACATCCCAAGAATATTGCTACACTGAAACAGTTTTGTGAAGAGGAGTGGTCCAAAATTACTCCAGATCGTTGTGCAGGTCTGATCTGCAACTACAGGAAACGTTTGATTGAGGTTATTGCTGCCAAAGGAGGGTCAACCAGTTATTAAGTCCAAAGGTTCACATGCTGTTTCCTCCCTGCACTGTGAATGTTTACATGTTATGTGCAATTAAACCATGGCAACATCTAATGTTTGTGTAGTATTATGTTCAGCAGACTGTGTTCTTCTATTGTTGTGACTTAGATGACGTTCAGAGCACATTTTATGCCCAATTCATGCAAAACTTCATGTAATCCCAAGGGGTTCACATACTTTTTCTTGCAACTGTATATATGTATAATATTGGATAATTTACCCTACAGTAGTTTATGGAAAAATATGAGAAGTTAACATTGAGTTCCCTCACTGTTAATGGTCATAGCCCTGGAATTATTCTTTGACTTCTCACATTTTTATAAACATATGTAGGGTGTGTGTTGTCTCTACTTTAACCATTTACTCATTTGCTGCACAGCTTTTCAGACGTAGGTATTTATTTGCTGGTTATAGTTCTGTAAGGCTTTCTGATATTCTGTCGGTATTGGGTTCGTTGCTTGGTTTTCTGTCGCTGTTCCTCACTGCATTCTCCAGGGCTTTCTGTCTCCGGTAGAAATGCGAGAACTTGTTGAATATTATAGTTATCGGCAGTGCCACCACTAATATCCCACCCAGGATACAGCCTGAAGCGGCTAGTTTTCCAGCTACGGTGGCTGGGACAACATCTCCATAGCCTACGGTTGTCATGCTTACTGTTCCCCACCACCAACAAGATGGGATGGTGTCAAACCCTGTGTCTTCATCCTTCTCTGCTGTGTATGCCATTCCAGAAAAGACGGAGACTCCAACAGCCAAGTACAGTAGTAAGATGCCAACTTCTCTATAGCTGTGCTGAAAAATAAGAGCGAAACACAATTATGTTGCAACATGCTAATAGCTGCTGGAAGACATACGTGTAAGCATATTTATCTTGCAGAGCCTTCCTGTGGGATAGTATGGTATAGAGGCCACCACGGGTTACAATTTAAACCAATAATACCCACATGGAAGAAAAATATATTTTAAAAATTTTGGCCGTATTCAATATATTTCAAAATATATTGCAATAAATATATATATATATATATATATATATATATATATATATATATATTATATGTTATATGTTGAAATGCATTTTTATTCCAAAATATATAAAAAAAAAAATTTAAAAATACATTTTCAAATATACTGTATGCCTTTAAATATACATTTAAGCTACATTTTTGGAATGCATTTACAAATATATGTAAAAATATATGTTCAAATGACTTTTTTATGTGTTAAAAAAAAATCTGAAGAATATATGTAAAAATATATGTTAAAATATAATTTTCATATACTTTGCAACATATAAAAAATGCATTTCAACATGCGATGTGTGTGTGTGTGTGTGTGTGTGAGTGTATATATATATGTATATATATATATATATATATATATATATATATTATATATACACAGTTGTGCTAAAAAGTTTGCATACCCTGGCAGAAATTGTGAAATTTTGGCATTGATATTGAAAATATGACTGATCACGCCAAAAAATGCTCTTTTATTGAAGGATGATGATCATATGAAGCCATTTTTTATCAGATAGTTGTTTATGAATAACATTTTATTAAATTTTCCACATGTATATACATACATGACATTTTAAAAAGAAATAGAGAGAAAGAAAAACAAAGGGATCATCGATGCTAGTAACATGGGTAGAAAAATAACAGTATGCAATGACAATAGGGCAACATTGGAAGATGATCAAGTCCGCACAAGTCAAGCAGGTTGACCAGAGGTGTAAACATCCCACGGGTTCCACACAGCTTCAAATAAGATTATAGAATCGGCATGTGAAGCGGTAAGATATTCCATTTTCCTAATATCTGCAATATTCTTAAATAATGTCAACATTGAGGGAGGTGTAGGGGAGAGCCAGCTCATTGGAATGCTTCTCCTGGCCGCCGTCAAAATATGCACAGAGAGTCTCCTCGATGGTCTAGAGAGACCTGGAAAGGGCAGGCCCAATAAAAAATAAAGAGGCTCAAAAGGGAGAGAGGAATGTAATACCAGTTGTAATAAGGCCAAAACCTCTTCCCAAAAGGGAGTGATAAGCCTACAATCCCAAAAAATGTGAAAAAGGGAGCCGGTTTCCCTCCCGCAGCGCCAGCAAGCAGGAGAAGCACTCAAGTTACAAGAATGGAGCACATCAGGGGTTCGATACCACAACATTATGATTTTGTAAGCATTTTCCTTATAAAAACTACACACATAGAGGATTTGGATGCGTTCTCCCATATTTTCTTCCACTGCAACAAGTCAATGTCAAAGCGGAGAAATTGGGACCCACTTACGCATATAGCGATGGGTATCAATAGTTAAGGGAGGGACATCTAGCAGGAGCTTATATGTTTTGGAGACTGTGCCCTTTTGATGTGGGCCCTGAATACACAGGCGCTCAAAGGGTGTAGGCTTCTGCAGAGTCAATGAGGGTGACAGGGTGGAGAAAAAATGGCGTATCTGCAAATAAACATAGAAGTGCTGAGGAGGTATTTGGGTATTTTTTTGGATGTCGGAAAATGATTTAAATTTCCGAGTCACGGGATGGACCAGATGACGCAGTTGGAAAAGATCGGCTGAGGCCCATGGGAGCATTCGGTGTAAGGACAAACTATCTGGAAGGGAGGGATTAAAGAGAACATTAGTCAGAGGGGAGCACTCGGAGGACAAAGCGAATTTAGCCCTGCATCTCTTCCAGATAGACAAGGAGAATTGCATGGGTCCAAGTAAAAGGTGTCGGTGAGAAGCGATGGCCACCGCTGACATATCCCAAAGCAGAGAGCATAAATGGGTCGGAGTAAGTTGTAAGGTTTCAATCTCAGTCCATTTGTTAGAAGGGCGTCTGGTGGACCAGGAGATTAAAAAACGAAGGTGGGTGGCATAGTAATAGGTCACAATATCCGGTACTCCCAAGCCTCCTCTAGAGCGTAAAGAAAGGAGTATAGAACGTGCAATTCTATGTTGTTTGTTGTGCCAAATAAAACGTAAGAGAGATTTTTGGATAGAATTTAGCTTGGACATAGGGATGGGGACGGGGAGAGTTGCAAATAGATACAAAAGTTTGGGCAGTACGGTCATTTTTATAACATTTATACGTCCAAGAAAGGAAATAGGTAGGGTGTCCCAAACTTTTAAGGAACGGGAAATAGCAACAAATAGGGGGGGAAAATTAGCCTCATATATGGAATGGTAGGAGGAAGTAAGGTTGGTACCCAAATACTTCAGCGAGTGGGTACACCAACGATATTGGTAAGATGCTTGGAGAGAGGTTAACATGTCGGGTGGGATATGAAGTGGGAGTGCTTCGGTTTTGGATGTATTTACCTTGTAGCCTGACAGGGTCCCAAATAATTGTAAGGTTTTATGAAGAACCGGAAGAGAGGTGCAAGGACTAGTTAGAGTAAGAAGGATATCGTCTGCAAATAGGGACAATTTATATTCACGCCCATGGGAATGTATCCCTCGTATGTCAGGGTTAGATCGAATGGCAGTGGCCAGCGGCTCTAGGCAGAGGATAAACAGTAAAGGGGAAAGTGGGCACCCCTGCCTTGTACCGTTCGACATCCTGAAAGAAGGTGAAAGAAATGAAGACAATCTGACCTCTGAGGACGGGGAGGAGTAAAGGACCTTCAGGGCCATCACAAACGGGCCCCGGAAACCATATCTCTCCAAGATCATAAACATATAGGGCCAGCTAAGGCGATCAAAAGCTTTTTGAGCATCCAAACTCAGCAATATAGCAGGGGATGAAGTTCTGTTAATCAGGTCGATCAGGTCAATAGACCTCCTGGTATTGTCCGCTGCGTGTCTGGTGGGCACAAAGCCCACTTGGTCCCTGTGTATGAGCTTGGAGAGGAATCGGGAAAGCCTATTGGCCAAAATCTTAGTAAATATTTTATAATCAGAGTTTAACAGGGCAATGGGGCGATAATTGTCCAGAATAGAAGGATCCTTATCAGGCTTGGGGATAACGGAAATATATGCACGTGAAAAATCAGCCTGAGGGGGGACACCTCTTAAGAGATCCTGAAAAACAAAGAGAGAAGATGGGGGGCCAAAATGCCTATGAACGTCTTGTAATAAGAATAAGGCAAGCCATCGGGTCCTGGTGATTTGTGAGAAGGGAGCTGCTTAATCGTATCATACAGCTCCTCAGATGAGATATCGGCATTAAGGGCCAAAAGGTCAGAAGGTGATATCTGCGGCAAAGAGAATGACTCAAAGAAGGCATCGAATGACGTTTTACAAAAAGGAGGATGGAGATCTGGGGTTAAACAGTTGTAGAGAGTCTTATAATATGATCCAAAAAGTGAGGCCATTACATGAGGGTCATATGTAGGTGTACCATCTGATTGAAGAAGATGGTCTGGTAACGAGGAAGAAAATTGCGTTTTAAGCCTGTTGACTAGCATACGGTGGGGCTTATTGGAAAATTCATAAAATTTCTGTTTGACCCAAAGAAGTGATTGCACAGCTCTATGTGAGTCAAGAGCTTTGATTTGGTCGCGTAGAGAAGTAACCCTACGAAGACGGGTTATGGACGGCTTGATTAGCAGTTGACGCTCAGCCGAGGATAATTGGTGGATGAGAGAAGCCTTGGCACTGGCTGAGGACTTTTTCAAACGGGAGCCTATAGAGATACATATTCCCCGGAAAATGGCCTTGTGGGCTTCCCAAAGTGTCGAGGAAGAAGTCACCGAGCCAACGTTGTCTTGGAAGTACATATCCAATCCCCGAGAGAGTTCTTCACGGAAACGGGCAGTAGTGAGAAAGGTCTCATTGAGACGCCAATGACAAGCTTTCGGTAAAGAATCAGGGAAGAAAAGATTCAGAGACAAAGAGGCGTGATCGGACCATGTACTGGGATTGATTTCGGATGAAACCAAGAGAGGGAGTAAGGGGGAAGAGATAAAAAAGTGGTCCAAGCGGGAGAAACTCCGATGAGGGATGGAGTAGAAAGTATACTGTTTATGAAGGGGATGTTTGATCCGCCAAGCATCAAAGAGACGATGTTCCCTTATCAATTTGCGAAAAGATTTTGAAGAGGAACACTGCCGCTTCGAGGGGGCGGGATTCAAATAGTACTTTCCTATCCTTGTGGGGGGACATGATTAAATTAAAATCACCTCCAATGATCATATGTGGTGTGGTAAAGGCATTCAGTCTAGCAAGGGTTTGGGAGAGGAAATGTAATTGACCTGCGTTCGGGGCATACAAGTTTAACAGGATAAGGGGAGAACCAGCAAACATACATTCCAAAATGATATAACGACACGTGGGTCGACTTTGGAGGAAATGACCCGAAGGGAGCAGTGTGTCCGAATCAAAATAGCCACTCCGGCTTTCCCAGTGGGATCAAAAGCTGAGTAGGAGTGGGAGAAAAAACCTTGAGGCAAAACGAAATGAGCCAGTCGACTTGAAATGGGTCTCCTGGACAAAAATAATATCTGCTCCTGAGGATCGAAATTCCCTCAAAGCCATCCACCGTTTTTGGATGGAGTTAAGACCTTTGACATTGTACGATAATAACCGTAAAGCCATCATTAGATAAACATACAAATAGCAAATGAACCCAGATAAAGAATAATGGAGATAGCATCGATGAGGCAAATCTAAGAACAGTAGGGACATGAAACATTAGAACTAATAACATTAATGGACAAACCCAAAAAATTACAATAAAGAACATAGATATCCGTATGGATATGAACTTGGGAAAGACATCAGCTCCCAAGTCGTCCAGGCAAATGTCTGGACGTGATCGGGGGCAACATGACAACCGGAACATAGAAATC